TAAAATGTTGTGCCATGAGTAGCCGTTCTGCTCGTAGCACGACGTCTCCACCGAGTAGGCGCTTGAGGATAGTCCGGACAAGGCAAAGATCAGGGTGAAGATGGCATCGAAGACGAGGCAATAAGTGCCTGAGCTGGCTCTGGATGCTGTCGCTTGGTGCAAACAAATGAACGGCAGGCAACACCGCAATACATTTGACGCGAACGGAAATAAATGTCCAAGTCACAGAGAACTCGGAAACGTTCCAACGGGGGCCGATTATGCAGACATACAACCATGAGAGGTACCTCACTCCTGTTCTGTCCCACGCTCGACCTCGCTGCTAACTGGACTACTCTGAGAGGTATACACTCCAGCGGAACCACATCAAGGCAAAGCAAGTGAAGAACCAGCAACCAGCACTCACACTGCACAACATCAGGCCGAACTGACAACCTTGCCGACCCCGAAAAGGCAGGTCGCAGGTCGCGTGCGCGCCGAATTTTTATCCTCGTTACACAACGTTCTCACAACAAGCTGATGGTAGAGCCATGTCTTGGACATGGGCCTGCTATAACTTGGCCAAGGCCGCACTTTCTTTTGGTCCCGATCCGAAGCTGAGCAGCTCCACGTGACAAGGTCCGTGGAACCCTGGCGTCCACGCCAAACTTGGCCTGGGCCCCCCCGGAACCGAACCTTTGCGAGCGTGTAACATTGAATCGCTGGAACATGAGGCAAGCCTTGCAGTGGGCCTTCCAGTGAGCCTTGCAGGAAGCCTTGCAGTGGCGCCTCCGGCTACCCTGCAGGACAACTGCTGACAGCAATTCTGTTGGAAGATTGTGGCTGAAAAGCTGGCAACGGACAGCCAATGCCGTCCTCACTAGCAACTTTGACTGATGATTTCCTTAGCAGCATCACCCCGAGGACCTGCCTGCAAAATTTCAGCCAAACAAGAGGGTAGCGGGGAATCCCTTCACTGACCCCGTCGGCCAGCCCGGGTATCATTCTGGGGCTCCCATTGCGCCGCTACACAAATTGCAGAAGCATGCCCTGAGTCGTCGGCCGAATTTATGCCGGACACGGGCAGGCCTAGCAATGATGCTGCTGATCAGATCCGTCCAACCCGACGCACGCACCCGTCACCCGCCTTCTGGGTCTGCGTTGCTGGGGGCTGCCGGGATGTTGGGCGACACAGGGCCGATCTCCGCTGCGCCACCGGAAGCTTCCGGGCCTTCTGGCTTCGGGGGAGGGGGAGCCGCGGGGACATTCGGCGAGATGGGCTTGATCTCCAAGCGGCCCTGGGCAGCTGTGCGCATGCCGATTCTTCCAGGCTCCCCGTGCTCGAGGACAGTCGCAACAGATTCGTTCGTAGACTGGCGCTTGATCTGAACCTGAAGCAAGGCACACTCTGCACAGAAGCCCCGCCACACCACGCAAAATGCCTGATCATCCAGTGATGACCTGGCGAATCAACGGCCAGCTCAAAGCACAGCGAGGCGTTGCATGTCCAGCCTATTCGACTCTTTGGAGCGATTTCGCACTACACCTCCTAAGCATGCCCCGTCCCTCAACACACTGCGTACTCTGCAACCGTCATCTTCCGCCGCATTCTCGGGACCGTGCCGCTTTGCCGCTTACGCATCTTCGGGTTGCTCAGCTGGGACTGCCAGGGTGTGGCGATTGCCACAACATGCGGCCAAGAACTCCACGGCATAATGCAAATGGCGACCAGGCAGCGGGCGTGCAAGAAATTGGCAAACATCTGCTGACAGGTCGTTAGATGGCTGTGGGTCAAAAATAGGTGCCCAAAATGGAACCCTGTCCAACGGAACCAAGGACTCAAACCTGAGGTCCAATTCCTGGTGGTTTAATTTTGACCCATACCCAGATTTCCCCATCCCTGGCCATCCCATCCGGCCCTATGAAGGCCTCAACCGTGGCCTTGTGGCACCAGTCTTCCCCATCCTTGCGGGCATTCACAAAAGTGCTCCCTCCAGCTCGCAAGCGCAAGCATGACTAGCCCTTCCTCGAGTGAAGGCAAAGCAGTTGACATGGAAGTGTACCACCTGCAAGCCAATGCAAATATGGGTGTGTCATTTGTTAGGGGGGCCACAACAATGGAGGGTTCTCCTCTTGGTTTCCTTTTCAAACCACAAACAAGAGGGGATCCTCCAACAAGACGCACCCAGATTGGTCTCTGCCCACCCTGCGAGTGGCGCCTGGCATGATTCACCGGGTCGTAGTCAAAAGCAGGCGGCCGCTGCGCTCTTGAAGACAGCAGGGTGCACAAACCTGAGAAGTATTTAGAAGTCATAAGAATGCAGGCGTCTCTAGAACCTGCAAGCTCGCAGGCTATAAGGCTCAAGCTGTTGTTCCAGTCAAGAATCATCTGATCCATAGGCAGGTCATTTGGCGCATCTGCAGGACCAAACGCTAGTGGGAGGTTTCCGCATGCCCGGGAGCTTCGGCCTCCAAAGGGCGCCTCCAAATGCAGGGCAATGAAGTTAAGGCACCACCTGAAGCCAAGGTGTGAGCAGAAGGCTGGTGTGAGCAGCCCAATCCCTAAGACCCTAAGGATTGGGGAGCAGGCAGAAAGAAAATGACCTTGGCCAGAAGACTACATGGACGAGCTCATGCTGCAAGTTAAGTTGTTGTGCGTCCAAGTGACGGCGAAAGATGTTGCAGCCGCCATGAATTTGGACAAGAGCATGCTGCACCAAATCGGCCTAGTGTGAAGGCTTAGGTCTTGACAAAGTGAGTTGGGGCAAAGGACATTGCGCACCACGAATGCAAATACGCAAACTCAGGCGGCCACATGACTCCCCAATGCAGCAAAAGCATGATCATACTCACCTTGCAGTCACCCCAGGTGATGTTTACTTGGGACCATCTTATTCGAGGGGACCCATGGGCCTGTTTTAAAGATACCCCAGGACAAACCCAAACCTTTTGTCCTGTGCCTGCGCATAGGGGTATGGAAATGGGAAGTCTGCAATCTTCCGCGCATTCTGCAGGTTCACAATGCCACGTGAGAGCTCCTGTCGGTGAAACGGAAAAACACGGTGCAAAGGCAAGTGCCAGCCACTCGTCACTGAGAGCTGTTTGCTGCGTGGCAGCTTGCGTTACTTTCGCCGGTTCTGTCGCTTGAGGTACTGTATTCCCCAGTCACGACGCCTTCTGAGCACTTGACCTCTTCGTGGCAGGGCGCTCAGAGAGCGCGCACATTGCGGGTGACCACAGAGCACACACCCACAAAAACATGACAGGCCCAAATATCTGCAAATACGCACATACCAAAACAGCGCCATGAATGGTTGCCAAAATGGCACCTTGGTATATGGAGACTAGCCCCAGCTATGTAATTCTGAGCCGCACCCAGCACGCGCACCTGCCATGCTCAAGGAACTCAAGTACATCGGTTTGCAGGCAAGCTGGGATCCAAATAGACCATCACACGTTTACTTCCCTCACTGCTTGACAGGCCTGAGACTCGCCCGCACACACGCGCACACAGACACCCACCCACCCACCCACCCACCCACCCACCCACCCACCCACCCACCCACCCACGCACCCACGCACGCACGCACGCACGCACGCACGCACGCACGCACGCACGCACGCACGCACGCACGCACGCACGCACGCACGCACGCACGCACGCACGCACGCACGCACGCACGCACGCACGCACGCGCACGCGCGCACACACACACACACACATGTGCGCGCACAGACGCAGACAGAGACGCACACACGGGCAGCGAAAGATAAACACGCCCGCCCGTGCACCCGACTAAGTTGCTGCACATATGCAGTCAACAAATGAATGTCACGCCTAACCACGTCACTGCCACAAAGCTTGCCGCTCAAGTCGCCAGTTGGCGAATACCCAAACGAGTAGCCTAGCGATCAACAAAATTGTGGCTGTGGGTCAAAACCCTGTACCCCTGGTGAACATCAAAATAGGTGGCAAATGGATGTTCGTCCACCCCCAAAATGGAGCCATAGGTTATGCCCCAGGGTTGCGCGAGTGAAGATATCGAATCGGTGTCGAGCAGCCTGGCCCCTGCCAGCGACCCATGCGGCTACCATGCACAATTCTCCAAGCGAAATCAGCTGGACGGCCCTCAACCCTCTCTCCTGAAACGCCCGCGACAGGACCGGAGGTGCCACAGGTAGAATACCATCTGTCATGCGAAGGACCTGCCGAATTGCTGAAGGCTTGAGCCACATCCTCTTGATTGGCACTAATTCTGATTAGATGGTGTTTTTTTTTCTGTTTTCCCTTTGCGGCTTTGCATACAAATCAGCGCAAGCAAAAAGGACAAATAGACACTGATTGAAACTGTCAGCTCCCGGGAAGTTTGCGCTGTGTGCCCAGTGGTGCCTCTTGTCGAGGAAGCATGTTTGGTTGCTTTCAGGTGGCTTAGCGTGGCTGTAGTCTTGGCCCAGGGCTGGTTTCGGGTTGGTTTAGTGTTGTAGGGTCGGGGATCAGGCAGGTTTAGGCTTGCTTCAGGGTTGGTTTAAGGTGGGGGGCTGCCACATGATGAGCACACCCGTTCACCTGAGCCCGTGTACCACTGCACACACGTCTGCCAAATGATAAGCACGCCGATCAACCGAGCCCGTGCACCACTGCACACGTGCATGCCACCACTGCACACACGCCTGGCTGTTTAAGGTTGGCTTGGGATGGTTTTATGATCGGTCTAGGTTTGGCTTTGGGTTGAGCAAAGGCCGGCTTGGGTTGGTATTGGATTGGTTTAGGGTTGGATTAGGGTGGCTTATGGTTGGTCTGGAATTGGTGCAGGGTTGTTTTCAGGCTCAAAGTCTCGGTTTGCTTAGGATTGGTTCAGGGTTGCTTGCTTGCATGCTTGCTCGCTTGCTTGGCCGAATGCGATAAGGGGGGGGGGGAAAAAAAGGGTTGGGTGGAACATAATTCCCGTGAAATTAGCTCACCCACGCCCTGCAGCTCAGGGACGATAGACCGTTGGATCCACTGAAGAATGATCTCCACCTTGTCCTTTGTGCTTTCCAAATACCTGGCACGGCAGTGGCACATCAAGACTCGGCACCAAGAAAGCCAAGGCTCCAGCATGAGGCTTTCCTTAGTGCACACTTGCACGGGGCCGCAATCGGGACATGGGCACCTGTGGACCTTCAGCTTTGAATTCTCTCGGTGCGGCAATTCCGTGGGGGGGGGGGGCATCGCAAGCAACCGTGAGCCTGCGGCGCCGTCCGGTTCGTCCAAGCAGCTTTCTCCACGCCCTGCATGTCCAGGATCTCGAAGGCCCGGTCTTTATCGGGTGAGACTTGCCTCGGCCAACCGAAAAGCGCCCATCGGGCCCGTCGGCCCTGCTCTCGGCCCTGCACCAAGCGCTCAGCCCAATTTGCCCGCGTCTGCCGAGGTGCTGCAGCGCACAGCAGAAGAGCAGTGACATCAACCTCGCGAGGAGGTGGTGGAACTCCATCACCTGCAGCCGAAAGAAAGCATCATCCGAAAGCCCTCAGTCGCAAGTACTGGATGCCTGCCGCTGCAGCTCTGGCTTGGGGGAGCCTGCAGCACATGTAAAAGCTGGAAGTTCTAAGGTGCTCCGACAGGGCAAGATAGATTCAGATGGATTCAGATGGATTCAGATGGCGTTCCCAAAACTTGAGCCAGGCAGCTGAAGGCCACCAAGCTGCTGTAAGAATTGAACCTCAGGCAGCACTGGGCAAAAAGGGCCAGGCTGGCAATTCTAAGGCGGCCACCATTCACCGCGCGTCTTTTGCAAGAGGGTCCCACCCTCCCACCAGCGCTCATAGGCGATGTCGCTACGAAAGGTTAGAATGAACATCCTTGGACATTCCAAGCTGGGCCAGTCCGAGCCAATGGCATGACCAACGCTTGCAGCACAAAAACATGCTTGAACAGGCGGCTTTATGCTCTGAGCGCCAGGCATCACAGAGCTAAACCCAGCCATGAGCCCCCTAAGCTGCAAACATGATAGTCTCTGACTTGCAGCAAGTGACCATAATTCCTACCAGCTCCGCCCTCCCAATTCGCGAATCACCGGGAGCTCGGCGCCACTGTGTTTGTGGTATCTGCATCCTGGTTGACATCATCCATCCCCTCCAGGAAAACACCCACCTGCCAAGACCGGTAGAGCTGCTGAAGTCGAAACACTGCAGCCAAGGCCCAAGCAGCCAAGGTGAGAGCAGCATTCCTGAGACGCATTATGGCCAGCTCATGCACTTTCTGTGACCTATCTCTTTCATTTGGTAATTGCATCCTGGATTCACAGCCGCCATTGCAAACGCGTAAGGAAACACGGATCCGTAGATGCCGAAAATCAACGAGAAGCCCCACCTGCACATCAAGCACTGATGGATCCGCCACTCCATCAGTGTGCGAATGTGTACATGGGCACTACTGGGCCCGCACTTGCCACTCTCATAGTGCCGCATTCTTGCGCAGCCTTGGCATGCCGCAAGCGTCAAACACCGAGTCTCAGGTGCTTGCCCCAGCCTCCTTCCTAGCCAAATGGCCTTCGAGGACCTGCTGAAGGCACCGCACGGACTCACTCAGCAAAGGGCTCCTCGCCTGCACAGAGCTTAAATCCCTGAGCGTGGAGCTGCATGCCATGCTTCGCATGGAAACATCCCAGGCGACGCTTGCACAGCCAGCGGCGGCGGACACCGGGTCAGGAACAAGTCGGTTGCCGCATGGCCATGGTACCCCAAAATGGTACCATGGGTTTTGACCCACAGCCACATGCCAGGGCAACCCATCGCAAGTGGCAGACGTTAAGGACATCTTTGCCCCACGAACGAAGCGTCCGCTTGTACATGATATATACACGCTCGTCTGGCTGCTGCTTGTCAGCGGCTGACGCCCTGCAAACCAGAGGCATGACGCCCCTTGCATTCTGACCGCAAGCTCGAGAGCACTCACATCTGCACGTACTCCTCTGGTCTGCTTGACTGTACATGTAGAAGGTCAAGTCATCAAGCCAGCTGTGACGCATTTGGTATTCCAGCGGGTACCTCTCTTGCATATTCCAGATACTCATCTCCAAAGAAGCGCACCAACATCTCCTCCTCGTGAGGTATTCTGCCTGCAAAGAAACGCCACGAAACCCAGGCGTAGGCAAAGAAGCACAAGATGTTTCCAAGCAATATCTGCGTAGACACACTCCACACAAACCATCCCACATAGCCAGGGTGTCGACAAAGGCTGTACACCTAGAAGGCTGTGAGCAAGTCAGAACGCTATGCTCCCAATCCGGGGATTGATTTATGAACTGGTGCTAAATGCGAGCTAGGCACCCCCTCCCGCACCAGTCTGTGTCCGGACTCCTTCTGGGAGGCCACGAGGTGGGTAAAGTTTGACTGGGCCGTAAAGAGGGCAGCCTTATGTCAAGTGCGTGTTGCTCAAAGTAGGGCTTGACCTGCCTATCCTACTCCAAAGTCAGCGGTTAGCCTGCTGGATCGATCCCAGCTGCAGTTCTCAAGGCCCATCCTGCGAAGGCAAGGCTGGCACCCAGCACCACTTCTGCCGTTCTCAGACCTGGCGGGGAGCTCCGTGCGCGGGCGACTGGCACGGTGGTCACGCCTGGAAGGGCGAAGCCGCCCAGCGCGCAGCGAACCCAGAACTCGGCCATGGCTGCTACAATGGCCACGCTGTAGCCCGCTGCTGGCACTGGGGTGAGAAGAAAGGCCCGGAACTCCTTGGACGAACGGAGTTCACAGGTGGTTTATTGTACAGGCCTGAGAGCGCCCTGAGGCCGAGTCGATGTCCTTCTCGTGGAAGAGCACGCAGAATGTGAACTCCGTGAGATGGAACAAGGTCACGGAGATCAGGAAGAGCGGCCTGGATCAGCGAGCATCGGCTCGAATATGAAATAACGCGCCCGATGAACACGTTGTGCCAGGCCACAGCCGTGGATCGCCAGCGATCCTATGCGACTGCCAAAGCAACTTGTCCCAGGCGCAGAATGGCACTTCCTCTCACTGCGGAGCAGGTGCGGCCAAGCAGCGCTCCCAGGCCACAACCCATCAGCCCACCCAGGCACAAGCAGATTAAGCCCAGCATGCCGGGGGAGTCCGCCTCGGCTTGAGGTGCACAAGCTGAGGCCTTTGAATGCAAGATCTTTGAGGTCTTGATGCGGAGTGCAAGAACCAACTTGGCTTCCTGTGGGTCTGTCTTTCTTTGAGGGTACCGCTTTTGGCTGGATTTAAAAAGACGCCAAGAGGAAACCAACCATTTTGAAAGGGGTCCCCGGCCCCCAACAAAAAGTCATACCCCTGTGGCAAGGCGTGCCGCACGGGAAACTGGAAACCGCGCGCCTCCCCAGGGATCCAGTTCACCGCCAGGAAGAAGATCACCTCACGGCAGCCCTTCGCCAGTCATACCCCGACCCACTTGCGCCAGGGAGCCGCAATCAAAGAGGTGCGCCCTTGACCCAAGCCAGCAGCCCAACCTGAAGGCCAAAAATGGCCCCAGAAGATGATCCCCGAAAGCCAGCGGCTCACAGGTCCTGGAAGCATCGCCACTTGCATCAGAGAAGCCCAGCGTGAGGCCCACTGCCACGGCCGCAGGGCCAATCCACCGAATTCTGCGCCTCGCGGCAGACATGCCCTCTGACATGCCCAATCAACGGCTTGTTTGAGCCACTCAGCCCGTCTGCTTTCTGGCCGCAGGACGCGCTGACGTGCTTTGCAGCTGTGAAAGGCCGAATGCCATGGGCTGCACTCAGGTCAAAACCAACAAGCATGGCAGCTGATTTCTTGCACACGGGCCAGTCAGCGATTGACCAGTGAAACTTGGGATCACGGGCCCCCGTGCATGTAGAAGGCCTACGACTTCAAGCATCCGAAGGAACTATGAAGCCTGACCTGCCACCCTACCTACGTGACAATCGCCTGGCTGACTCTGGGAGCAACATTTCAGCTCCCTTGTGAAACATCGCATGCGCGAGGCCAGTGCTTTGAGCAGCTTGGCGCTGCTGGGCTGGCCTCACTTCTCCATGAGCATACGCTTCAGCTTGGTGCTGTCCGCGATCATGCCCGGATTGCTACGCATGTCTACACACTCACCGGTATAATAATTCTTGTGGGTCGACACCTCAGCAACGTGAGAGCCGTTTGCATGTGCAAGAGCCTGCTGTCCGGTCAGCGCACTAGCCTTCAGCATGAAAACTGCCCCGAGCTCGCCACAAAGCGTCGTTTGTGGACGCAAAACCTATCCAAGAACTGGATGGTTGACGCATTCCTTACTACAACTCATGGCACAGGCGGGCCCGCGTTGGCTTGCAAATCTATCGAGGAATTACATCAAATGCATCGATGTCAACAGGACATGACAATCCAAGATTCTTCAGTGGCACCGGCGCATCCTCCAAGGCGAGGCGAGAGCGTGGCCTGCGCTGAAATTCCAACCACCCGAGAGAGACCCGACTTTCAGCTTCAGCCAGGCGGCGCGTTGGGATGGTAAGGCATCAGCGGCTTCCTGTTGACGCGTCAGGGAAGCGTCTCACGAATCTCTAGATGCCAGCCTGTCCATTGACGCATAGCAGTGAGGGATCTCCCTGAAGCGGTCCTGCAAGGAGGGGCGGCTTATTTGAGGAGGCTGATGGGGCTGATGGGGCTGATGGGGCTGATGGGGCTGATGGGGCTGATGGGGCTGATGGGGCTGATGGGGCTGATGGGGCTGATGGGGCTGATGGGGCTGATGGGGCTGATGGCTTGTGCCCCGTCCTGGTATTCAGAAACCGTGTTGAAACGATTGGCAAAGTCTATGAGCCCTTTGGATTTCTTGCCATGCCTCGGCATGGATCTCAACCACAACCTCCCGCAGAGCCACCCCAAGCTCCAAACGGAATGGCGATGATGCCGCCGTTTGCCAGCATGAAGCCCGTCGCGGAGCCTACCTGATGCCCAAAAGGGAACAGCAGCCAAACACACACACACACACACACACACACACACACACACACACACACACACAAGCCGCCCATGATCACACCAATGTCTCGTGAGCGCCTTCGAGTTCTTCAGGAATGCTAGGCTGCCTTCGCTTTGGCTCTTTTGCATGGCTGCAACGATGCGGACTCCACCTGCATCCAATTTGCAGGCTGCAATGCGTGCGTGCCAAGAAATTCAATGCCCATCTGCCTGCAGAATGTGTAGCTCTCGGCTACTCTCCGGCCGTGTCTGAGCCAAAGATACTCAAGTTGAAGAGCCACAGAAGCCCTGAACATCGACGCCGATAAGTCATCCCATGTTCCATTGTTTGACTACCCGAAGGCAGACTTAAACCGATTGGGGTTTCCATTTTGGGAATAATTAGAAACCCCTGAGTTTGAGCCTACTGCGGGGTAGTCAAACGATGGCCTGTTGGTGCCGCCGTGGACTTCCTTTTGCTACTTGGTTGGTGCTTGGCCTCCCTGCTCTCAATGCAGCCAACTGGCTGCTGCCAGCTTCAATGAAATGATGCCATCACTCGAGCTGCCGCGCATGAAACGCTGCAATTCGAGCTCATTCGCTCACTTCCTCTCCACTGACCTTATTTTTTGGGAACGTTGCACGATGACTGCACATGGCGGGCAAGATCGCAAGATCTTCAGGCTTAGATTTGTCTTGGCATAAATTTGCCGAACTGCGCTGAGCGCTTCTCAACCTCCCTTCTTCCCGTCAAAGCCAAGTGGCCGTCACAGCGCTGGCCATAGCGCAGGGGGAGCAGGGAAACGTTTGAGATTTGGCATCTCCAAGTGTTTGTTTGACGCGCACTGCGACGTGCATGAAAAGACCTGTCAGTAAAAGACACAAAGAAGTGATCAGCCCAACAAATGGAACTGACATAGCCATTTAGCCTCCGCATCTGCGAATGGTGTGAAACGCTACCATGCCAAGCCCACAGGGGCTTGGAAGGAGTGCAACCTAGTCTTCGGTCGAAACCCCCTGGATGAATTCCACTCCGGTCCTCGAACCAAAACAAAAGCGGCTGATTTGCCATCTCTGTGAGCCTGGGAGCCTGGCCGTGCAAATGCCTTCCTGAAAGGTAAGCAAATGAACTTTTTGGCTTTCGATAAGCCCAAGATCCCGGCACCAGGTCGTCCATTTTTGGTAGCCTCCTGGGCTCGGCCCGCTGAAAACTTCCCACGTCTTCTCTTGCACACATGATTCCCCACAATGATTGAAGGTACTTTATCGGCATCTAACATACTCTCAGGCAGCTTTGCATTGTCCCTGCCCCCAATTTGTTTACATGTGTTGCAGCTACTTGGTGCCGCACTTTGTTTCCAGAGACGACCTCAGGTCAGAATGGTCTTGTGCATTTTGCTCTGCGACGTGCTGACTCCCTTTGCTCAAGGCCCGGGCCATATGAGTTGGTCGCCGTGCTGGATTTCCTCCAGCCCACACACTCAGCAGCCACCCGGCTGTCCAGCTGAGGCATCCGGCAAAGGCACCAGTGTTGAGAAGCTGTGCTGAGAGCATGTTCCCAACCTACAGCAAGTTCGACTTGCAAACCGAAGGTGGGAAGGTTAAATATCCTGCAAGTCGCTGAGCCGCCAGCAAGCCAAATGCCCATGATCGTCATCATCCTGCTCCTTAATCCGAAGATCTGGCAAAGGCTTCGACGGCCCCAAGCCGGGCTCCCAACTCCTGCATAGACGACAACATCTGCGGCTTTGGCACCTGCAACTGCACCCAGCTCGGCCGCTCGGCTTGTGGAGAAACGCCTTGATGGCGTTACAAATGGAGTCGCCGGCCCAGATCAGAGCAAAAATGGCGAGCTGCAGCGCAAAAACCACCTGGGAAGCACGGAGGCGGTGAAACCGGTGAAAGGCGCTGGCCAGGTCTCTGTGGGCCATGCGTTGGAGGCGAACCTTGGGTCTGGCATGGCACGGCAGGACCCCGCTGTTTCAAGGCAAGTGCTGGTTGATCAGAGGAGGTGGGTACGGGCTGCCCCTGACCTGCGAGACCGTCACACCATACCAACAAGCACACACCAAAAGGGAAAACGAAAACTCGCCGTCGATCGCCGACCTCCAGGTCTGTCAGGGCCCGCTCCTCCAGAGCGCTTGGAGCCGTGAAAGGGAGTCAGCATGGGCTGGTGCGTCGATGCTTCTTTTCAATGCGAGCCCGAGTCCGACGAGCTGCTGGAGCTGCGGGGCGTTGGCATCTCCAGGCCGGCGTGTGCCAGGGCCGGTGCCCGAGCATCAGGTGGCAGCTTCATGGCTGCTTCCGCCGCCTCTTCCGGAAAAGTATTGCAAGCCTCCGCAAACCACTCGGCTGTAATTCGCAACACCTCCGGCAAAGGCGTGGTGGCAAACTGGTAGACCTCCTGCAGGTGTCTGAAATCCAAGGGCACTGGACGATCCACGCTGGGCAAAAATCCCTTGGGCCGGTCCACAGCTGAGGGCGAAGACTTGGGCAAGCCTGATGCGTTGGCCAGTAGCTCCAGGAATTCCTTCAGGGGAACCTGCAAGTTGCAGCCCAGGTTAACAGCATCGAAGCCGGGAGGCCCGCTTCCCATCACGTGAACCATGAAGCGCGCTACATCGCGGCTGAAGACAAAGGCCAGCGGCGGATCCTCGGCAGACGCGTCCCTTGGCCGCTTCAACGTCTTCCGAACCTGCGGTAGGTTGTCTGGGCCTGCATGCCACCAATGCCAATATGCCCACAGGCGCATGGTGTCATCAAAGGGGCCTATGACGTCGGGCAACCGCAAAGCAACTGCTCTGGAAGTTGTCCCCTTCAATCCCTCAACCAGCGCCTCTTCAGCTTCAAGCTTGCCGTCGCCATAATTGTCTGCCTTCTTCAGCCTCTTGCGGCTGGCCGCATCTGCTGGACGTTCGGAAAGCCTTTCGCCAACAGGCCCAGCTCCAGCCCATCCAGACCCCGCCAGCATGCTCACTTCGTACACCGAATCCGAGGATACATACGCATAGACGTCGAAGCGTCCGCGCAAGCCCTCGAGGGCTGCCTGCACATCCGCGCCGTTGTAGGCAGAGAAGTCCGCCACCAGCGCCCAGCGAGACACCCGCTGCGTGACGCCATCCAGACGCTCAGCAAAGGCCCGCGGGTCCCGGCGGTCCGCTGCCACCCGCGCCACACGACCGCCAGAGGGATCCCGAGTGCCCCAGTAGGCCCGGCCCCGATTGACCACGCAGACCCGGGCGGGCAGCTGAAGCAGGGCATCCACCGTCTCGCGGCCCATGAAGGTCGAACCTCCCAACACCAAAACCGCCGGAGAAGTGCCTTCCAGCCGCTCGGCGTTCTCCACTGCCATGGCAAAGCGCAACGAAAAGTGAGGGCAATGCGCCAAGTGCTGCTCCAGCCCCGTGCAGCGTTTCATGCCATGTAAACGTGGCAATGACCCCTGACACTTTAAGACTCTACAAGCAGGTCCTTCAGAATGTTGGACACCTGCTGGTAGGTGCCCTTGTAAGATCAGCTGGTGCAGTACCTGAGAAGCGTCTGGTCAGACAATGCCCCTTTCGCCCCAAAAATCCTCGATCCGGTCACTGGATCAGCACCTCGTTTTTGCCTTGAAGACACGAGCTGGGCTTTGACGCAGCTTGCGCTGGCTTTCACCATGCTGAGTTGGGCACCCAGGTTTGAAGCCGTCGGGGTCCCAGAAGAATTGGAAGCCTCACTGTGTTTCAGAAGCCTAGTCATTTCAAGAAAGCGCGCAAGGAGAGGTAAATGACTGTTCCTTATCTTCTGTTCCTGCATCTGTGTTGTTACTTGCCCGTGTTCCATTCATACATGAATGGGGCTCTTTGTTGGGCCCCGCACAATCTCTGGAAGCTTGTCCTGGCCATAGGGAGGGCGTGGAATTTCCCCTGAACCACTTGCAAACCCGGACGAACGTTTTTGCAGCGGGGGAAAGGCTGGCAGAACCTCAACAAGCATGCAGCACTGTTCGGCCATGTCAGTCCTTGGGGCGACTCTTCTCGATTTGCTGTCCTGGCCAGCCAAAGTTTGGCGATCGGCAGGTGCGCCTCCGGCCTATCATCCCAAGCTCATCCGCAAAACGAAACGCCACCATGGCCTCACACTGTCGAAACGCCAAACCCGTTTCGGATTTTCAGTGAAAAAGCTGGGCTGCCAACAGCGAATGCCACGCCCACAAACCTGGGCAGACAGCTGGGCAGATGCCCTTGAGATGCTTCATGGCCTGAGTGTCTCCGACATGGCCGGGCAGGCGAAAAACCCGTTCGGGGCTGAATGCGCCTGTTCGTACCAGTCCGTCGGGCCTTTTGGTGGGGACGCTTCCCCTGTCTGAAAATGAGGCACCACCTTAGTCGTGCTGGTGTTGCTTTGCAATATTATAGCCAAAAGCTGCTGCAAATGTCAGCAATTGCCGCAAGCACGTCTGCCACATCTGGAACAAGTTCCGGCAAGCTCTCGCTCTGCCCTCTTTTAATGCGACTGCGGCGGCTCTGCAGGCGACCACCTGACGCCAGGCGGTCTCAGGCTGTGCGCAATCCGAATGTTGCTAAGCAGCCGAGCCACGATTTTCCTGCTCTCTCTGCGCTGTTGAGATCCAAGCTTTCGTTGAGCTTTCCGTGTGAAACCGTATCGCGTGAAACAAACATGCTAAACTTGCAAAACAAATCAGGCTATGGCGGTGCATGCGCGCAAATCAATTTGCACAAGTCTAAGTGGCTGCCGATTGTCAACAGCCTTCATAAATCTCCGTGGTCAATCTTAGTGCGACCACCACGATCGTCCAGCTCTATGTCCTTATCTGCATGTTTACGAGCATGTCCAGGCCTAGGCCTGCGAAGACTGCCAACTTGTGAAAAGCTCGCCACAGGAGAAGAACATAACAAGGGCAGTCGCGCGAGCCCCTACCTCTTTGGCTACTACGTGTTTCCAAAAACAGGCCTACATCTTAACAAACCAACTCGCTTCGCTGCCGGATCCGCTTTCTGACAAGACACATCTTCATCTTCCTCTGCACCCCCACCTGCGCAGGCTTGAGATGCCTTTTAAGACAAACGGCTACTTGACAGGGCATGCCAGGGCATGCTTTCGGCAAGGCCTTTCTTCTTGATGAAGCTGTCCGTGATCCAGAACTGCATCGCATTCATGCAGAAGGGGGTGGCAATCATTGCCACCAGCAGTTTCAGATTAGGGCTGGCGGAAAACCTCGGCACAGTCACTGGCAGCTCAAGCCTTCATTGATCACCCTCAACTTGGACTCAAAACCAGGGCCGCCTTCTGCAATTGCCGTGCCGTCCCTTGCGTCACGGCCTTGCAGGACCTTCAGACCGCCAAGTCAGCCGGGCCACGGCGCGAGGGCCATCTTCGCGAGCACCAGCAGCGTGCTGTGACCCACAGCCATGAAGGCCACCATGATCACCTTCCTAAGTGATCATCAAACAAATGGCTGTGGTTGTCAAGACCAATGGGATCCCATTTTGGGGTAGGTGAATTCACCACCCATTTTAGAACCTATTTTAGTGGTTGGATTGGGATGTTCACTGGGGGTACGATTTGGACTTTCACCCATGGCCAAATGGCGAGGCATCATGGAAACGTCTCAACGAGAGCGAGTAAGGGACAATAGAGCAAAGCTGCCGTCTCATGTCTGATGCCACTCCGGCAAAGGCTGTTGCGCACTTCAAATCAGAAGACTCCGCCAACCTTCTACACTCATGCACGGGGGATCCGTAAGGAACTGGATCACTGTGGGGCTGTGAAGAATGCAAGCAAGGGCATTTGCTTGGCTTCTTCGGGCATCAAGTCAACTGCCTCCCGCCAGCCCCTGGCCCCATCAAGCCATGCTGCATGCTGCTCACTATTACTAACCACACCGCCAGCTGCTTCGCGTACTTCCTCAGCCACAGTTGCAGGTTCTGGTGCAACAGGGCTCCCTAAATTTCCCCCAAAAACATCCCCACCAAGGGACACTCACCTTTCACGGGCCAAAAAGGTGATGTTTAAAATCGCCAAAAAAGGAAATATAGGGACCCCTGTGCCAGCTGTCCAGCATCCGCGCAGCCAAGGCGCCCAGCATCCGTGCGGCCGTCTATTCGATACTCTCCGCTCCTGAAGTCGTCGGCCTATGCATTCCAAGCGCCTTCCCTCTCCGAAAGTGGACAGAATGAGATGGCCTGATCAGGAATCATCATCTGAATCAGCCTCGGCTGATGTGAAGCCGCCGAAGGCCGCAAAGGCGTTCGAAAACGGAAAAAAATAAAATCTGGAGGCGTCGAGTTTTTGTTGGTTCTCCAGAAAGCTGAAAGCTACAGGGGTTCCAACTTCTAGTAAAGAGGGGAAAGTGATTTGCGAGATTGATGGGCTGGTGCTAAGGGGCGTGCGGTTTGGGGTGCTGGGGTGTAGGTGCTGATTGGGGTGCTGATGGCAGTGCGTGTGCATCTTTTCAAGATTGACGGTAGAGTGCTAGGGGGCATGCAGTTTGGGGTGCTTGTGCAGGTGCTGACGGTGCGCGCGCATTTTTGCATTTTGACGGTAGGACGCAGGGGGGAATGCAGTTTGGGGTGCTGCTGCTGCTGGTGCTGTGGGACGCAGTTTGTGGGGAGCTGTTTGAGGTGCTGGTGACGGTGCGGGCGCATTTTTGCGATATTGACGCTCGGGTGCTATCGGGCATGCAGGTGACGGTGCAGGCGCATGTTTGCATCTTGACGGTAGGGTGCAATGCCTTAGGTGGTGGTTTGGGGGGTGCTGGTTGATTTTCGCAAGATTGACGGCTGGGTGTCTTGGGGGGTGCTGTTTGGGATGCTCTTCAGGGTGATGGTGCGGGCGCATTTTTGCTCGATTGACAGCCGGGTTTTGCTTGGGCTTTTGGAGGTGCTGGTGTGCAAGCGCTGCTATCTGGGGTGTCGGGTTACAGGGTTTTAGCCCCTATTCCACCTGAGTACATGTCCTTGACGCGGAGTACTTTGGTAAAACAAGTATTCTGAAATCCAGAGCCAGAGATCGTACACGAATTGGAACAGTCTGTGCGACTTGGGGCCACGACGTCTTGAACAAGATCAACCCCTCACAATCTCATCTTCATGACCCTTGAGTTCTTCCATGCCCGCAAATGGGAAACGTCGCGTACGAGCTCTCAAACGTCCAAACGCGCCTTGCGGACAGCTGCAGCAGCACGAAGGTCACTGCCACCCCCAGCGTGCAGTCAACTACTATGTTGATCCAGTACCTCAGAAACCCAACAAAATCATTTGGCTGTGGGTCAAAACCAATGGGATCCCATTTTGGGGTAGGTGAATTCGCCACCCATTTTAGAACCTATTTTAGTGGGGATTGGGATGTTCGCTGGGGGTGGCGTGGCCATTTCGCTGCGTCGAACCCGAGCCATGCAGCCATGCTGAACTGAGGGCCCGTCCAATCGCACTCGTCCCCGCCCGCGGATTGAAACTGCTCCTCCAGCTTCTTCCTAAGGAAACTTTTTTCATGAGGTGTTCAATGGCAGCGCCATGTTGGGCCAAAGCTACGCGAAGAGAAGATTCAGCATGTGAATCCATCCCGAACCTGGACGTGCGGCGCGCACTGCTTCGTGCCAAGCAGGCGAGGCCGTGCCTATGAGTTGCTTGGACGAGTCCATCAAAAACTCCGCGAAGTCGCGACCATCGTGGGACTGGGACCACTTCAGCAGCAAGGCCTTGCCAGAGCGGCTGGAACCGAATAAACACAACAAATACAGACAAGGTGCAGCGCAGCAGCACAGAAAAAGAACCTGGGCTGCATCAAATGCAAGGAGGACTGCAGACACAGCGGCACTCGCCTTCAATGCGTCTTGGACCGCATGAAACCAGGATGCCCAACCCCCACCCGGGCAACACATGACAGTAACGCGGCAAGGTAGCCAACTGTGTGACCTTGCCTGTCACACCGGCAAGAATATAACATTCTCCAGATATCTCTCCTGTAGATGTCACATCTGGCAGGGAGTGTTGTTGTTGTCACTGGGGGCCTGTCCTCGTTCCATCACGGACAAGTGCAGATTGAATTAGGGCGAAAGAACCCTGAGCTGCGGCGAGCATCGCCCGTCAAGGACTGACAAGCGATCTGACCGGCCATCCCAAAATTCCAGCAACGCGCAACCCCAAGCCAACACATCCCCGCCAGCTTTTTTGGGCAAAACAGGAAGCTTGGTGGGAATTCCGACCTCGGTCTTGGACCTCCCACTCCCCAGCACACTCCCCAGCACACTCCCCAGCACACTCCCCAGCACACTCCCCAGCACACTCCCCAGCACACCCCCAGAACCCTCCGGGCACACTCCCCCGGGCAGAGCAGGCAAAGCATAAGGTGGGTCTTCCCCCATGTGGAAGCCCAGGGACGGCTCAAACCTATGGCAGTCCCCGCCTGTCGCAGGCGTTCATGGAGTACTGCCGCAGCAGCACACGCGAAAACAGGCGTCCTGCCCTCAGAAAGCTCATACCCTCCACGGGCATTGGAAACCCGCACATTGGCATCCCAAATTCACCTCCGGGTGGTTCTCAAAATAGGGTACCCCTTTTTGGATGGTTGTAAAGGGGGACAATCCAAAGCAAACCCGGAGGGTCCCCTATTTTGAGAACCCATCTGGACTCGCACAATTTAGGCCGGATAGGCCATAGGTTCCATCTCGCTGGGGCAACCGCCGCGGTTGCACTGAATGCAGCTCCGACCTGGACTTTCTCATGGGAATGCACTCCTCCGAGATCCGCTCCTGCGATGCTTTTAGCGGATCTGAATTTGAGCGCGCGCGCGCACACAAAACACTGCGCAAGTGCAATATCAGAGAAGTCGGTTGAAGTTCCACCTGTAAACAGAACAGGCTCGTGGATGCAGCCATCGTTTCTGCAAAACAACACGGGGATTGATGCGTCCCATGGCAATCAGATGATATTTGGGGTGTCAGGCGCCTTGTGAAGGATGGTGCGGGCAGCCAGCTCTGGCAAGGGGAGCGTAAACATTGACGCGCCTCAGCCCGAGACCGAAAGCCTTCCGCAGGACGGTTCCTGGTTCCCGGCCTGTGTCTGCCAAGCACCTTGGAAGCCAAACAGCCGCTTGCAATCCAGCAGCTTCCCAGCCTGAAACCAGTGGCCGCCCTGTTGATGGCACGTGCCAGGGGGGGAGATACCTAGGCATGGCACAGTCAGAACCTCGAAGCGATGTGCAGCGAGGCCTCGCTGAGCAACTTCTCCATTGGCTGCTCAGCCTGACAAGGGATGCGAACAGAAAATGTCCAACAAGACCTGGCGACCCGCAGCTCAAAGCCTCCTCCTCGCTAATAATAAATGGCTCCTTTGCTGGATGTCCTCGGGAGAAATGGGCGGCTTGGCTGATGCACGTGTGCCGAGCTGGTACAATTGTGGCCTTATAGTGTGTCTTCTTCAAATCGTAAAAGTGCCTGTGATAAGTTCGAACCCTTTTGCGAAGGGAGCAAGACCATGCCCTATCACAGCGTCTTTCTCGCCATGTTTGCTCACACATGCCGCTCATATCATTTCACAAGGAACTCGAACTGGCTTTGCAAAGCTTGGAGGTCGTGGAACAATGGTTGCTGAAACGTTTGCCATCGCAGCCAGGGATGTCTTGGAAAAATGCAGGTCAGTGCTCGCTGCTGGTTTGTCTGTGCCCCTTCGCAACTCGCTTGGGCAGCACACATGGTGTGTCGCAGGTGAGTTGGAGATTCTCTATGTTTCTCTCCGGTCCCCTTGTGACTCGGCCGCAAACCCAGGCCGCATGGCAGTATCCGGACTTTGCATGGGAGACCCTGTAACTTTGGCGCAACTTTTCGCAGCCTGCTGTGGCCCAGGGTAGAACTGGCATGTTTGTTGCCTGATTGCCCCTCGACGCCGTCAGCAGTTGGTACCGTTCCAGAGACATGCCTAGGAGAGATTGAGGCAGCGACGTTCCGGAGCTGGTGACCTCTAAAGTCGGGCAACGGCAACTGTGGCAAGGAGGTAGCCACAAATCTGCAACCCGGAGATACAGTTTACTGATGCTCTGTGTCCGCCGACTAACTCCATCCCAAAGTCTCAAAGCGCAAAGCCAGCCACAAGCAAGGCCTGAAGAGCGCAAGAACTGCCGGCAGGCATGACAGTGACACGGCCTGGGGGACGATGTTCAGTGCTCAGTGCAGCTTGGCATGCGCATCACTGGCACATCCCTGGGTCACTGGGGCCCCATCCGCTGCCATCCAGTATGGAGCAGTGATCCTAAGTAAGCTCGAAAGCAGTCGGGAGCTTGCCAACCAGCGCTGCGCAAAGCTTGCAGTTCATGAGTTCACTGAGCTTCGGTGCTCAGCTCAAGCCAAGCTGCTCGTAGCAATACAAGAAGCCGCCGATGATGGGACCCACAAAGGCGCCCACAGAAGCAGCAGCCTTCACAAACTCGCTGCTCCACGAGGCATGACCAAGTCGCGCTAGAACGAGGCATGTTTGCTGATGGAACGAACGCGTTGACTGAAACATGGGTGCAGCCTGATAGACACCGAGGTAGATTCCACTTGTGCCCTGGCTGCGTTTTTGTCCGAAATTGTGCCCAAGGTTGGCCGGCCTCTGAAGCTCGATCACTGGTGAGGCTGGCGCAACTGGGGTCAATGAGTGCCCCTCCTGCCACGACACAGACCTGGGCGATATGCAAGCTGCCTGACACATTCTGTCGATGCATCCAGGTGAGTGGCCGCAGAGAGCCACGGCATCGCAGCGAACTGCAGAGATGCCAAGGCCACGAAGATCGCTAGTCCTCAGACAAGTTGTGAGCAGCCAAAGGGACCCGCCGACAGTGCACCTGACCAACTGGCCGACTAGCAATTGATGGCAAACATAGGCTGCCACGAGCCTGGTGCTGTGGTGGTTTGCCACTTGTGCCGTCAAGCTTCGCGTCACCCAGCCGAGCAGGATGCTTGTGGGCCTGCCAGCCGTCCGCTGCAGGCTACTGGAAACAACGAGACCGCGCCTGCCAATGGCAGCAACCAGCTTGCTGACCACAAAACCCTTGGCAAAGCAAACAGGACAAACAGAATCCTGGTCCGCAGTCCAGTGGCATCTTCATGCTCCATGATTGGAAATCTCAATCGACTGCTGCTAAAGACTTCCTTTCACGGAAGATCCTGAAAAGACAAGCTGTCTACGCAAACTGCCTCCTGCAAAGCCAGGCACCTGGAAGATGACCATGACTGTGCCAGCAGCACAGAACACCAGCCCCAGCTTGCCGGCGGTGATGCCATACCGGTCCTTTCAAGCAATCAACCTCCCAAACTCCATCACAGCCTTTGCTCCAACGAGCAGGAAGCCATCGAGACACAACGACACACGACGCGCTCGGCCCAGCTCCTGGAAGAACAAGGCCGACACGCCCATGAAGATTCCCACCGCGAGCTCCTGCCAAGGCTATCATTTTTCTGATGAGTTGGGAGGCACCGGAAAAATGCTAAGATCCATTTGGCCATGGGTCAAAAGCCAAATCCTACCCCCTGTGAACATCCCAATCCAACCACTAAAATAGGTTCTAAAATGGGTGGTGAATTCACCTAGCCCAAAATGGGATCCCATTGGTTTTGACCCAAAGACATTTGGCCACCAGCATGCTGTACACTGGTCACGCCAGGCTCCTCGCAAAAAGTGAGGAAACAAACCTCGGCAAACAAGACGTTCGATAACATGCACACACACCCTGGCCAGCCAAGCAGCTGCAGCAAGGACGTAGTCAGCCAGGAGGGATCGCAGTAGTTGGCTGCAACCCGCTAGGGTGCTGCTTGGGGGCGCCTGCTTGGGTACTTGTCACAAGCTTCATGCGACTGATCTGCAGTCGGCCTCTGCATTCTTGGTCTCTGCACATGCCTGGCAGCAACAGGCCGAAACCCGGCGCAGTCCCAGCTGCCCACAGCCTTCAAAGGCTTGATCTCCTGAGTACGACTGCAGGGCAATCAATTGGAAAGGCTTCATGTTTGTCAAGCGGCCGGGATTTGGACCAAGCCCAGGCAAAAGTTTGCGAAGGCACAAAGCGCCGCCACTGCGCACACCGGCAACCTCGCAGAAGCCGCTCTCTGACTTGCGGAATCTAGGACCTTGATCCTATCTTTGCACCAGTTGCCTAAGTGTGTGTCAAGGACCAGGTCGCCTCAAGCCAAGCTTGAACTCATACTTTCATCAACTCATTCTGAAAATGAAGACTTCCTTGCCAAGAAGATTTCCTTACTTTCCAGGCTTTGCCAAGCGCCAGTTAGATTCTCGCCAAAGGGGCGAGCCATAGGGCGCAATGAGGCCCGCCAAGCCGGGGCCCAGAACCACACCTACCTCAGATTGGATGCCTAAAGCACAGTGGTGTGTGTGTGTGTGACATGTGTGTGGGTGTGTGGGTGTGTGGGTGTGTGTGTGTGTGTGTGTGGGTGTGTGGGTGTGTGGGTGTGTGGGTGTGTGTGGGTGTGTGTGTGGGTGTGTGTGGGTGTGTGAGTGTGGGTCTGCGTCTGCGTGTGCGGGTGCGCGGGTGCGTGCGCGCGTGCGCGTGTACGTGTGCCTGTGCGTGTGCGCGTGTGCGTGTGCGTGTGCGTGTGCGTGTGCATGCCTACGCGTGTGCGCATGCGTGGGAATGGGCGCAACCGCGCGTGTTGGCATGCGCAGCTAGGCATGTAGGCACATAAAGACGTAAAAAGATGGAAGCAAGGGCGCGTGGGCGTGCGTGCGCGCGTGCATGCCTGCGTGCTTGCGTGCGTGAGTATTTGCGCGTGCGTGAGTGGGTAAGTCAGTTTGTCCGTTTGTCTGTGTGTGTGTGTGTGTGTCCGCGTGCACCCTTTTCGGGCTTGGCTGAAAGAGAAGCTAAAAGGGACAACCCATTTTGAGGCAGGGTCTCCGTATCCTAATATACCCACCTGGCTGCGTCTGCTCTGGCCTGCGGGCGAACCCAAAACATTTAAACCCTTGAAATGGTTCGCTGCGATCTGGTGCTCCCACAAGCACCATGCTTGAGAAGAACGCGCATGAAGGATTGTGATGCTCAACGTTGCAGATTGGTTGTGCATCGTATCAATCTCAAGTGTCCGCTGGATTCCCTTGCGTCAATAGATCTTCCTCACTTGCTAACTCGCACACGGTGATTTGGTTGGTGGCGTCTAGTCATGTCTCTTAGCGTCCAGTAATATCCAGTGTTCGGGGTCTGCATTTCGACCCTAAGGGAGTTGGGTGATTGTATGAGATTCTCTGAGGCACCACTCCCGAGCAGGGCGTAGGGCGATAACTCGAATCTGGTCAGACGACGCGCACACTAAGGAAGACTCGCCGTAAGCAGCCATGATGAGCGCCATCTTGCCCACGCGGTCCTGCGCCATCACAAACCCCCAAACTACCCTTTTGGAGCTTGCGCTCGCCTCCGGCGCCGTGACTTCTGACACAATGGCCTGACAAATGCTGACCTGCGAGGTACACTTCTCATACACGTTTGGCATCAAACTGCATGCTGCCAGCTAGCCGTACCAGAGAAAAAGCCGTGAAAAGCTCGAGCAAGGAGTAGCTGCCACATGGAAACCTGGACACGCCGAACCGAGTTTGCTCAGCAGTACTTAAGGCACGGACAGACAGGCCAAAGGCAAGGAGGGCAACGGACGAGCTGACCAAGCTCAGCAGCAGAATCCTTTCGCAAAGCAGCGCACGGACAATCGCTATGGCGACAGGTGACCCGCTGCCAGAGCCGTCGCCTCCGCTTCCCATGCACATCCGCCATCAGGCCCAGCAGAAGCGTGCCGAAAACCTGCCAACCCAAGCGCTGATCTGCTGCTCCCGTGCAATGAAGCTGACCAAAGCCCAAGGAGAGGCGAGAGGCAAACACTGGCACGCAATGGCCAGCGGTGTCACGTGTCTGGCCTGCGTCAAGCTGTACAAGGACTGCAACAAGCCCACGGCAAAGGGCGAGCTGTCCATCCTTGGCCCAACGCAGGGCAAGTGGCTCTTTGGATTCTTTGGCCGAGCGCTTTCTGGCAATGAAGGGCAGCAACGGCAGCACCATCATGGCCCCCATCTTGTCCAGGAGGACTGCCAGGTAAACACTCCTAAGTGTTTTCCGGTTCGCGCTTAGCCCAACCCAGCGAGTGGCCACAAAAGCTCATATGGCAGCTTTTGCGCTGACAAGCTGCATGAGCGAAGGCTCAACATGCTTGTCGGCGGCACCAGCGCCCATTGCTCAGGACCAAATTGAATCTGATAGACACACTATGTCAGCCGCCTCGGGTCATGGGAGAAGCTGGGTGACTGGCCTGCATGATCCTCCTTGAGGTGTTGGCTGCAGTTCCCTCCGTCTACTGACAGGCCGAAACTCCACGTTGGTCAAGCCAAATCCTCTGCCAGGTCTGAACCCGTCTGGGTGACGGCATATTGATGTTGCCTTGCCACGCTTGTTTTTGTGTGCGTGCGGGTGGGCGGGCGGCGGGCGGGCAACGGACAGGTGGGTCGGTGCGACAACAATTAGTGTCCTCAGAATTGGCGAAAGTGGCAATGCATTTCGTATCTTATCCAATCCTGACAATACGAACCCGACGCAGTTGCCCGGCAATGTTCAATGTTATTTTATTGGGTATGGAACTGGCCCGGGTGCTGCATGTGCTACGCGTCAAGCCTCTCCAAAGTTTTCTGAGAGCCAAAACCGAGCGAACAGGCCTTTCTCGTGCTTGAGGCATCATGGTTGCAAGGGGCACCCAGGCTTCAGATCATTCATTTGCTTGATGGGCACCGTGCATTTCGCGATTCCCGCTAGGCACCCAACTCAATTAGCCCTTGCGAGGTTCATTGTAGCCTGGCGTGGGCATGTCCGAAGCACGCAGGACAAGCTGCAAGCTATGTCCGGGTTCTTCCGCTGTGCATGGCTACCGCGCAATGCCGAAAGCAAGCAAAAACAACACTGTCCATTTGCGTGTGATCCACGGCACCCCCCAGCTGAAGAACCCTCTTACCGTGGCTGGCTGTACAGCGTGCCTGCCGTGACACTGAGATTTTCTCAGGGTCGCCCAAGAATCGTGATGCCACAGCCTAGGCCTGCGCGTGCGCAAGCTGAAACCCTGGGCACATCTATCATGGGCGTGCCTGGCTGGTTGGAGATTCCGTGCCTGATGGTCACAACTGCAAAGTGCGCCTCTCACTTGTTACATCCAAGGCGGCGACCCACCTTTTTGCCGGCACTGTGAAGCCTTCCAGCAAACCCCGTGGCAATGAGTTCTGCGCAACCGTTCCCAGCTCCAGGCCATAGACTTGCAATGGCAGGGTAGGCGCAAGCCAGCATCGCCTCGGCTTCTCGGACGCACAGACTTCACAGGCCGTGGCAGACATAAACCCGCTGACGACATGCACGGCAGGAAATCTGCATCAAAATTTGCCAGGAGGCAACGTTCAGCCAAAACGGCGATGTCTTCCTTGCACAGAGACCGCGCGCGTGGTTTCCCTACTGCGCCGAGCCCGTCTAGGAACAACCAACTGAGGCATGGCTCCAGTTTTTCGTTAAACGCATGACGCAGCAAGCCCGGAGCCAAGCTGCGAAATGCCGTAGAGGTAGCCGCCAAGTTGAGGGGACAGGAACAGTGCTACCGACTGCCCGGCCTGAAGCTACCGAACTCGAAACCCAAGCATTGCTGCACCGCCGCCTGGAAGACACCCATGAAAAGCCCCGTCAGCTCCTGTCAGACTCTAAACGGCAAACGCCATGCTCATCTTCAACCGGTGAACCTACATGTAACCGACAATGGTCTGCGAGGCTTTTCGCCTCGATACGAAAGTCCTGTCAAGTTTGACCCCACCCAGTTGCGTGAAGGCTGAACCGATATATCTATCCGTTGGAGGGCGTCTCCCCCATCGCTTCGGCCATGATGCCATGGCCACCTATTCTGAAGCAAGTCCCTTCCTGGTGTGACGCTCGTACAGGGTGGTCTTTCCAGCTCATGTTGCCACGGCATGGCCAGCAATATTTTGAAGGAAGCGGCGCTCGTCCCATCGCGTTGCTCAGCCATGACAGCTTGCTCTTGGCGCGCTCTTGCTCGAAAGCATCTTCCCAAAGCTGTGGCGCAAGTCCTGCAGGTAGGTTCTCCTGGGGGACAGGTTGCTTCTCTGGCGCGTTGAAAGGCGGAGTAGGCCGATTGCCCAATCGTGTCGTTGTGACCTTGAGCCGCCAATTTGACAGCTGTCGAAGTTCTTCCCAAAAGCCGCGCCCTTGCCGAGTTCAAGATGTTGATGCACCCGCCTCCTCCCAGAATCGAGCGAGCCTCCGTGACCGCGAAGCAAGAAGCGTGGGAAGCAAACTGCGGCCCAGCGTCCCTGAGAATCCACGTCGTGTTGGTCGTGAGCCACTTGGCGAAGGTTCTCAGCAAGTCGCCCGCCTGTGGGCTCCCAATGGCCGCGCACGCCTGTTAGCGCGATGAGATCGGCGATCTGCCCATGCTGCTAATGGACTCGAGGGTTTCCATGACGAGTGCATATCTCCGGGCTAAAATGCATCAGCCGCTCTCCACCAGCCATGGCTGGGAAATCACTGCGGAACAATCGTGGGGACGTCCCCAACATGAAGACGTCCGGCTCGCAGCTCTCATCCAAGTGCTGGTTCAAGGTGGCGCTGCTCCCCGTCTGCGCCAAGACGTTCTGCCTCTCGCCGGCAGGCCCGTGGCCCTTGTCTTCTCCTCGGCCGCGGGCTCTCTCCGGCCTGACTTTGTGCCTGATCCCGATCTGCTTCTTGAGGCAACCCAGCTCCGCTACCATGCAATACTCAGCTGCGACCGATGAACCTACATGCGACCGACAATGTCTGCGAGGCTTTTCACCTCGGTGCGACAGGCCTGTCAAGTTTGACCCCACCCAACTGCGAAGGGTGGTTCTTGCATGCGTGCACGAGGACTGAATAAATCTATCTTTTTAGGTGGCAGGGGACCAAGCTGCACAAGTGTGATTTTTGGAGGAACGCCCCTGCAAGGGACCACTGTGTTGGGGGCTCCCTGACAGTTTGCAAAGCCTATCAGAAACTGCGGCTGGCCTTTGGGGCTGCTTCACTGGCGATGGCTGATAGGCAGTTGTCGATAAAGCCACCAGCCATAGTGTTGATAACCTGGTGACGCACGTGCGAGGAAAAAAATGAGCATAGGCTCGAACTCTTCAGCTGAGCTTCGCATGAGTCGACTGGAACCCAGGGATTCCGCCAGCCAGCTACCAGGCAAAAGACAAAGACACCTTCGCACGTCAAAACGCCTGTGCTCACTGACTCACACTCCAGCTCTCATACTTCCCTTTAAGGTCAGCGTCACAAGCTACAATCACCCTCGATTTGCACGCCAAGTATCGCATGGAGTTGCCGATGACAATGCTCAGCGGCCTGCATTTGGCCACAGCAAAAATTCCCGGGCTCGGATCGATCCCAGCGAGGCCTTCCAATCTTCGCCACAATCTTGGCAGCCATCAACCCCTGCGACGGGATTTTTGCCTGCTAAAGGCTTTGGGGGCAGGCAGTTGGCAGCGGTGTTCGGACGCCTGGAAGAGCACCATCGTCAGCCCGGACAAGCACAGCAAGCGGCCCAGGTGTACAGCGTCCACATCATAGAAGTCCAAGAAGGCCAAGGGGGAAATGGCCAGGAACACGCCGAAGACGGCAAACTGCGACACGTCACTTTAAGTGCAGCAGCTGACAATGCAGGAAAGTCGACTGAGGTGATGTCCTGTATGAAGTTCACATAAAACACCTCGGATACGTGCTGCCGACAAGCAACTGGGATGCGAAAGGCACCCCTTTGACCTGCTCAGCTTCGTCAAAGCTAGCCACGTCTTGCTCGAAGACACTGGCTGACAGCCGAAAGAAGCAATCCACTAAACAATCAGCTCTTGTTGAACTCACGAAGGCTCACCGCGGCTCACCGCTGCTTGCTTGACATTTCCGGCTAGGCTCGTTTAGAAGTCCATTTGAGGCAGGGGTGCGCCGCTGGAAAGCTGTGATCACTGCAATAATTGGAGATGAGCGTCCAAGGGATAGCGCGGATCTGCAAAGAGAAGCTGGAAGTTCTTGCGTAGAGACCGGACGCCAGCCACGAATCTGTTCTGCGCCACCTCCGGCGCGCTTCCTCCAACAAGCACCGCAGCACCGCCTCAAGATTCAATGGGCGTTGCCTCTGGCTCCAGTAGGCCTGAATCAGTTTCGACCTAGGCCGGGCACGATGCGTGCCACAGGGCTCGCTCGCTGAGGCGTGTGCAAAGTGCCGGGTGTCCTGGGCCCAAGTCACAGCGGCTCGCACGAGCAGACCCTCGAAGTCTCTCCCAAGCTTCGCCAGGGCGCAGGGACCTGGATGACGGCCACGCAGAAGTTCAGGAAGGTGGCCACCGAAGCTGATCCGCACACTGCCAGCCTGGCGCAAACAAACCCTCTTGGCTCGGCTGAGCAGCTCAGCGGCTGAGGTGCGAGCGGGCCATGACGGGCAAGCAGCGAAGCCACGCCGGGCCCCAGCACAGCACCAGCCTCGGCTGTACATGGACCGGAGGACGCAGGGCTCAAACTTGGGCACGTGCCCCCACTGCGGCCAGCGTCTTCGACATCTTTTCGACCCTCTCCTGGCGAGGCGAGGCCCTCCCACTGAGCGTGACGGCACGACAGCTTCCTCCGGGGTGGAGACATCGGCCACGATAGATTGGCAAATGTTGACCTCTGCACTTCGCGAAGGAACCATGTCTGACGACATGGTTCGAAGGTCTGCGTCCCAATGGCCACTGCATTGCAGCAAGCGGCGGTTCCAGCAAAGAAGCCGTGCAAGGCTCTGAAGAGCAGCAGCTGCGGCATAGTTTCCTGATACAAGAAAAGCCTGCGCTGGGCCATGTGACTCTTCTCTCAGGGACTGGCCGCCAAACCAAAGAGCAGCAAGCACACGGAGGAGTTGAACAAGCTGAGGAGCAGAATCCTGCACATGGCGCGCATACTCATCTTCAGCTCTCCCGCATCCGCATCCAGCCTCCTCTTGCCCAAAATATCTGACAAGGAGCCGAGGATGATGGTGCCAAGTGCCTGCCCATCTCACGATCGCGCATTGGCCCCATTTGCCCTTCTGAAGCCAGCCTGAAAGGCACTGAAGAGAGACTGCATCAAACCAATTTCAAAGGGCGTTGCCTCCATCCTCATGGCGAGCACTTCCCGCTTCACCATTAAACTGGCTAATCGGAAGCCACGCCCAAGTGAGGCTGAACATGCGCCTGAAGATAACATGTGACACTCAACTTAAGGAACTGAAGGGCGAAGTGCCGCACAAAATGCGTCTGAAGCTAAAAGTTGGCGATCAAATGTGTGAAGCAGAAGCTCGAAACGCAAGCTAAAAATGAAAGTGAACTCTCAAACAACTCAAACTCATGGAGCTGAAATTCTAGTGCTCCAAAACTTGAAGGTGATTCTCCTGGGACGAAAGTGAGGATTTGAAGTCGCTGAAGGTGACATCCGATGTTTAATGTGCAAAGCCGGAATTCCAATTCATCAAGGTGACATCAAGAAAAAATAGAGCGGCCAAAGGCCGCTTCCCCTCATGCTCGTAAGTGTGAAGCAGATGCGATCGCTCTAATTGTCAAAAACCACTGCTGCCAGGAAGCTTTACGGCGAGGAAAGGTACAAGCGGCATCACCATGCTCATCCCCATCAGGTCAAAGAAAACCGCCAGGTAAACGCTCCTCGGTAGCGTTTAGAGCTTTGAGTTTTCCACCAGCGCAGCTCGTGCAGCCCAGCTTCCCCAGGCCACCCTTGTAAGTTTGCTCGGAGGCTTTGCTCATTGCTTCCCAGCGTGCAAGCTCGACCTGCAGCCACCAGGTACAAACTTCTTGGGCCGGATTCTGGAGGGACCTCCGGCTCCGCAGAAATGGCAGGTAACCCGTGCAAGGGTCCGAGTGGTGTGTAAAACAATGCTGGCTTCCGGAGTGCTGACATTGGCCGAGTTGCGGTTTGTACAGGTTGTTTCTCGCGTTGCTACGTCAGCTGTGTTGTTTGCCCTCTGCTGTTCCGCTGATATGGCTGCCTCCGTGCATCAGGGGGCTCGCTAGGCAGGCACACTTCACTCAGCCCTTTGTGGCACAGTGGGTGCAGCAGCAGCACACCATCCGAAGCAGCAAGCAACCTCTTTTAGACCTCGGGCATCAGACGGCGTCGTTTTTCGGCGCTTGCATGATCAATGGACAGCCTCGGGTTGTACTCGACTGAGTGGTCTCGGCTTCCTTGTCAGCTGGTGGGGCTGCGGCTCATCGTAGCCAGTTCGCTCATCCAGCGGCCTCGTGAACCTGACGCCTACCACCAGGTCACCAGCAGAGCTCTCACGCCTCACAAGCCTGACATGCATCCTTGCCTGGCAGCTCAGCAAGAACCTAAGATTGTCCATCCGACGCTGCGCCGGCCCGCACCCTTCAAAACTAGCGGCCAACAGCTGCAATGCGAAGTGAGAAACGACTTCCACTGTAGTTCTCACGATGCATCCAGGCATCATATGGCCTCGTGGCAGCATGGCAACACCCAACGGCACCCATGTCTGCAAAGGAAAGCGCCTCCGTACACATGGCAGTCAGCATCGCTGATCGACATGTGCAGATGATGGCCGTGGGTACTGACTGTACCGGTCAAAGACCTGGCAAAAAGATCTCCCAGTTTGTCAACACATGGCGGGCGGGCATGAAAAGCGAGCTGTGATCCAAGCGCCTGGCACGATTTCATACCTGCAGGAAAGTTGGCTCAGCATCCACTACAAACCCATCCAGGGCACTTTTCCGAAAAGACCCGGGGAGTCGGAACGCCGGCAGGTCTCAGAGTTGTTAAACCTGCCGCAGCTCCCCTTACCCATAACAAAAACTGTCTAGCAGGATCATTACAGGCACAGCACTAGCAAACACAAACAACCAATATGGCAAGCCAACGCCAAGGGGCCTGTGCTGCCGACACCTCATGTCACCCCGGAAAATCCAGGCTGTCCAGAGCCATCTGGGCACCCAGCAGCTCACAACACACGCGGCCTGCATGCCATTCGCAAAACTCTGCAGGGACCTCAGGCCAGCGCGGCTGGCGCGAAACTCCCTCCAGCCCAACCTCAAGATGTCCTCCCCTGGCAGAAGCCGCAGGCAGTGAACCATCGCCTGAGGCTTTCTCTCTCCGAGTGCCGTTTTTCGCCGCCCTCGCCGCCCTCGCCGCCCTCGCCGCCCCGAGGCCCGCGCGGAAACGGCCTGCGCAGTTTCACACGCGTCCAGCGCCACGCTGGCACGTCCAAGCCCCGAAAAATTGGATGCAAAAACCGGAAGGTCCACAGCATTTCACGGCTTAAGATCCCCTCAGGACCGGGGCCTCCAAAGTCCGCAGCCCATGGGAGCCAGAACAAAGCTCTCTGATCTTGTCATTGTGGGGCGCGGGGCCTCGTGAGACGTGGGACCTTTGATGGGAAACCTGCAGGCTGGGTGCCGCGCGATAGGACATGTGATGCGCCTCACGGGAACAAGCAGTTGCCGAAATGCAGTCAGAAGCAAGCAGTGACTAAGGGAGTATGGATTCCTAAACTCAACAACGAAAGAAACCAAGCGAACCAAAACACGGGACCTTTATTAACCCCGGACCGGTGCGCACGGACAAACCCTGTTTGCAACATGGGCACTTGAAGTACTTGAGGCAAACGTGCATTGACGTCGGCAACTTGGGACTTCAACATGCAATCAACAAGCCTTATGCTATGTGTTTTGGGGGGCTCTTTGGGTGATGGGTCTTGAAAATTCAACTCTTCATGTGTTTGGCCAGTGCAAACACGGACCTCTGGAAGCCTGGACTTGGGTATGTTTTTGTGACCTGCCCCCTGCAAAGTTGTTTTCTCAATGTTGCCTCCGTGTAGTCAGCAAACATGTCCAGCGCCAAAAGCGCCTGGCGCAATTCGCGACCGCGGCCAAGATCAACATCTACCAACTCAGCCCAGCCTCACTTGCGGGGAAGAAATACGCCATACAATCCAGCAACTGGTCATCCTCAATGCAGGGCGGTGGCAGGAGGGCAGTTGAACATGCGCTTGCCTCCATGGACACCTGGATGCTTCGCTTATAGTAGAAGCCTTTCGAAACCTCAGTGGGGAACAAATGGAATCGCTCGCCGATCAGGCAACGGTGCTCCAAACACAAACGACAATTTTGCCGCAGAACGCTTTGTTTGGGTTGAGTTGATCTTCTGTGACTGTTCCTGTGCTTTTGTGTGTGTGTTGCTCAATTCTTTCATTGCATTTTTTTTATATTTGCTTGCTTGTTGTGATGGCAAGTTTCCCATGGGTTTCCGAGACGCCCGTAAAATGTGCAAACAGAAAATACAGAAACACCAACCATCTGATTCGCAGGGTTCACTTCTTTCAGAATGCAATTTTCAGACAGGGTGGTCCTGTTTGGACATCCTTCTTGGAAAACTGCATGCCAAAAAAGGCAAGAGCTGTTTTGCTGAGCTGCGAGCACATTCCAAGATATCCAATGCTTCCAGAGTGCCTCCACCAGAAAAAAAAATCCAGCTGCGTCATGTGCTTTGTCAAACTGGCCCTCGGTTCTTGAGGCACGTGGCTGCCATCAACGCGGTACACCTCGCCATGAATGTGATGACCAGCACCTGACACAAATCAAGGAGCCCAAGGAGAGCTGGAGTTGTCCCAGGCACCCGGCCTTCCTTGTCCTCAGCTCAATCACAAAGTCCTTTGAAGACAAGGCATCGGTTTTGAAACGCGTCGATTTCAATCCCCACTAAAATACGTAAAATGGGTGGTGAATTCACCTACCCCAAAATAGGATCCCACTGGTTTTGAACTATGGCCATATCTGTGTTCCGCCAAGCCGCCCTTTCCTCCAGTCTAAGGCTGCGGCCATCAGCACCGGCGCCACAGTCGTGGGCTCAACGTGGGGCGGCCGCAAAACCATCCTGAGCTCAAACTGAGCTCAGCCGATTCAACGATGCGCGCCGTTCAATCTATGACAAACTGGCTGATGCTCAAACTGGTTGATGCCGTTCAATCCACACCTACCTTGCTCAAACTGGTTGCCGAGGAACGGGAAGCGCAGTCGTGTTTTGGCTCTACCTCCGTCTGTGGCTCTCAATCACCGTTTCGCACACCGCTCTTTCCAAGCTGCCTGCGTACACCGCCTTGCGGCATTTCTCAGCCAGGCCAAGATATCCTGGCATAAAGCCACTTCCATGCCCGGTAAATGTCGGAAAACCTTCCTGAGGCTCCGTGCGGACATGGTTCGTGAAGCCCCGCTTCAATGTGCCATATACAAAGACCTGGGTGCAACCCTTGTCATTTCAAAAGAAGCTTGCCAAGCCAAAACTAGAGGCCGAGGACGCCGCATGTGTTGGGTATCCAAGAACCAGCCCCGTCCGAGGATCCATGATGTGGTTCCAAACAATGTGGTGCTTATGAAGAGCGATGTTCTTGCAACGCTTGCCACTGCTGAACTACCAACGACTTAAGAATACACTCCGTGCGAGCATCCATCTTGACAAGTTCATCGCCAAGCTGTGGCGGGCACACACCACATGCGATTGTCACGCACAGACCTTTTGCCACGGCAAGCGCGGCACCGTCACAGCCCAAGCTCATGTGCAAGAATTTGTTGCGTGCAGAAAATGCCCAGCGTGACCAGGCCAACGAAAATCGGATTGTCAAAACTCCAGAAGCCCCCACCTGGCAGCGCTTGCTGCAGCCCATCCTCCAGCGACTCTACTGCCTTGGTGAGTCCTGTGGGCCCTGGCTCCGCCAGCTTGGATTGTCTCAAGTATTTGTCGTAAAACCATTTCTCGGCCCCGCGCTCCTCAAGAGGCGCCTCCGCCAATGTGGTCAAATACTCTTTCAACTCTCCTTTGCGCTTGCTCGAGGCCAAATCACGGCGTTTGAATGGAACAATCACCAACCACCAGTATGCCAGGGGAATAGCGGCACACAGAAAAACCAGGATGGCCTGTGCTGCTGAAAACTGTGGCGCCTCCACTCCCACATCAACCATGGCCCGGGCTGGCATTGCCATGCGCGGATCTGCAATCCGCAGAGTGGAGCGAAACAATCGCTTGCAGCTAGAGCTGCTGCCAGCAAAGGCCCAAGCCCTGCAAAGTGCTGAGAAAGCACTGCCAAGCATCCAAATGGCTAAGAGCTCGCGGGAGGGTTTCGTACCTCTGCATGATATTCTCCCGTGACGGCGCTCCCCATGGCGACCCGCATGCATCTCGAATTCAAGGCGCTGGACAAAGCCCAAACAGCGGTCATGGCCAGCAAGATGAGACCAACGCCAAGATCCATCGAGGGTCCCTTTCTTACTACTTATCCATTTCACTGAAAACAAAACCCCGCCGGTCATCTCGCTTCTTGGAAAGGCTTGGGGGAAACAGACAGCAGGGAATCCCAGATTCTTCATCCAAACTCCTCTAGACACGGCCTGGCGAATAAAAAAAAATGATGAAATCGAAGAGAGCGACGGTTGGGTGACGAGCGGTGGCTCTCTTCCTTCCCTTCCTTTCTTCACTCTAACCTGTCCCTGGCTGGTCCCTTGCCTCCACTCGTCAGAATCCAGGTAAGAGGCAAAGAGATAGGAAAGGAAGGGTATTAGGTGAATGGGAACAGTTTCCATCACTTCATTCTGGATGTTCCCGTCTGTCACCTAACCATCACCCACCTCTTTCTTTTTTGGGACTCACGGCTGACGAAAGAAGGAGGAAGGGAAGTGAGACCAAACAGTAGGAGTAGATTGTGTGTGAGGGCACCAACCGTTCCTTCACTGCTCGTAGCCGTAGCCCTTTATCTCACACACATTCCATCTCCTAATATCATATCCATGTCTTTCTAAACATCCGTAAAACCATGCTCAAGGGGTCTTGACTCGTGCTTCTGGAAAAAAGCGCTCGCAAAAAAAATGGCGACCCTTCATGCCAGCCCTCTTTGCACTTGCGCGGGATAGCAAGCTCGTTGACACACCGCCAGCACCAACTGGGGGAGCGGCTCCTGCTGCATTAATGATATGTATGCGGACACCTTGCCAGACCATGCGCGCCTTGTTGTTGTTTTTGTTAACGTTTTTTTTGGCCTTGGCAAAGCAAAGGTGAAACGGCGTCGTAGCCGCGCGGCCGCCCAGGACAGCTTAGCTGCGCAGCTGCAAGCGGCTCCCGCCTCGCCGACATACAATCTATGAAGCACAGCGGCAAGCACCTCGCCCAGAGGCGGCGCCCCGCCGCCTGACCGCAGTGCCAGCCATTGTGCCAGCTCTAAGAGCCTCGTGAGCGAGCACGACCAAACGGCATCGGTCAGAAGACACGAGCTCATGGTGGGTTCGTTTGTTTGTGCGCTGAGCTATGCGGAGCGCCGCTTTTTGAACACGGTGGTGGTAGACACATGCCCGGATAACTGAATTTAACGCTGACACAAGGGTGGTGTCATGTGGTGTCGACTGCAGGCTGCGCCCTGCCGGGATGTTGAGATCTCGGAGGTTGCCGTCACAGTTCGACTGGCAGGCAGAGCCTGGTGCGCAGACAACGGCGGGGCTCCATCAGCCCCCAACCTCGATGGCAAACAGGCAACACCGCTGCGAGCGCATCAGCTCCGGGTAGGTGCACTCCTTCCGGCGCCGGGCCTCGCATAGAGCACGGCCAGCATGAGGTGGTGTCGACCAATCTGAGCTCCATTCGAAAGAGGGGCTGCGGCGACAATCTCAAGGCGCCGACCCGAGCGGCCGCCGAGCGCACGAGGCGTGCGGAACAAGTGCGAAGCCCGACGGGACGGGAGACCGGAAGGGTGAACAGCCGACCAGCAAACGGGCCCTGCCGACACAAGTAAGCAACTGGCAGAGCGGTCCGGGTGCGCTGGCCTAGCGCTGCCACCCTCGCGCAAAACCTCCAAGCAAGGCGATGCAACTTTGTGCCAGGTGAGGGCGGGCCAGCGTAGGGCGACCGAGCTGGCGCCGGAAAACAGGGAAGCTGAAGCCCAGTAAGCAGCTGGGCTGAAGTTGCAGCGGAACGCAGGCCTAGACCCCACAAGCGCAAGGGAAGATGCCGGCCGCAACAGCGAGATCCGTGGTGAGGCATCGCGGGGGTGCACAGAAGAGCAACAGGGGCGAAGCCTGCAAATCACGGCTACGCAGCGACAAACTCGGGAGAGCCTAACGCATCACCGAGCACAACGCCCGCACGAGTTGGGAGGCAAGGAGCGACACCCGACCCACACAAACCCCGACATACCTTGGCGAGTTGGCCTGCAGAATTCCAGATGCGGGTTTTGCCGCGGTTTCACTGGATGCCGGGCGTGACGCCACAAGGCCGCAGCACCAAGCAAGGGCCGCCGAGAGGGCATGAGTAATCCAGTCTGCCCGTGATGCGCTGCGCCGCCTGGAGCCCAAGGCCTCCCATGGTTGCCAATAGGAACTCCAAACGGCGCGCCAAGCTGTCAGGCTCGGCAACCATGCCGGCTTGATTTGCCTTTATGGGATGCTCAAAAAAAAGAGTTTGTTTATCTGTAAAATCAAAACAATCCGCTTTCTGACTGCATGTCCTGTGGCTCGCCCCCGGAAACTCTGCTTAAAGGGGCGCCCCCGGGCAGCGGCCTGTTGCTGTGGTGGCTAGCCTCTCCACATGCAGTCCGGGCACAGGCAGCCGGCTGCACTCGGGCGCTTCGGCGTACCGGAAAGTTAGAATCTTGATCACTGCTTCAATCCGAAGGGAACATGCAGCAAAAGAAACAAGAGCACGACCGACAAACCTGTGCGCATGCTCTGTTTCTTTATAAGGCTCGGGGGCGCAGGGGGAAAGACAGCGCGTCCTTTCCCCGGGTCTGCACCCCTCTGCGGAGCCTTCTCAAATGCCCCCACTTCAGGGTTCCAAGCAAACTTTCTTCCAGGAAATGGGCGCACTGATGGCTGCGAAGAAGATGACAACCAGTGCCAGTTGTTGGTGTGCGTCTGGGCGATGCAGCGCGGCCAAAAGGTCATCGACGAACAACCAAGCTCTATGCGGGTATGCTGACAGGATGCCGTGTAGCAGTCGGAGCAAGAAAGCTCCTGTGCGTTGCCACCAGTATGCGGAGAACCGCCGATAATGGTACAGGTTGTCTGCGAAGCGAAGCAGGAGCAAGCCACGTTCGCTTGGGTGTACCTGATGCCAGGCGCACATCGGATGCCATCGGCAGGCTGATGCGTTCTGGGATATTGCATTTGGGGTTCACCCCGCACACGGTGCTATCTAGAACCAGGCGTGGTTCTTTTCCTTCTGCATGCACAACATTGAGTTTGCCTACAGCAATGCCTTTATGCCAATGCTGCCTAGCCTGCTCGATGGACATTTCTGTGCGGACGACCCACCCGTTGGAGATTTCGTTTCCAAAAGGGCCAACACTGTGGCTGGCTCTGCTTCGGCGGCTTTCCAGTTGCCCATGCATTCTGTGAGCTCGTGAGGTATGTCTGCGTGCTCCTTGGGCGGCCACTGCATGCTGCGGGGCAATTCGGACAGGGCTCCTGTGGGCACACCCTCGGAGAGCAGTGGAAGGAGTTGCATGCAAGAGTGACAGCCGGTACGGCTGGCCGTTGTCGGGAGCCAGACTGGCTGGGGCGGGCTTGTCCACCGCCCTAAAATCAGCGCTGCTTCTTCGGACTCCTGCGCTGACAAGGGTGGTTCAGGCGTATCTGAGCTTACGTGGGCGAGAATTTTGGGGATTAATTTTTTGTTGTTGCCCACTGCAACCAAGCGTGCGCTACTATCCCCAGCGGGTGCTTGAGCTGGGGTACAGAATGATCTGCTGTGGAGTGCATGCCTGCTCCATCACAGACTTTGAGTCTGTTGGGGTATAGGGTACGGATGCAAGGTTTTTTAAGCTCGCGCACCAGCGGGCCGCGTCGAACTTTGAATGCGCAATGCGTGACCAGGCTTGCGGCCAGGGTTCCGGGGTATTCCGCGGTCAATGTGCTGGGGAATTGGCCTGAGTTGTTGCGCACTCCTGCGATGCTAGCGTGCTTATTGGTGTGATTGCAGCGAGCGGCTACGTGCTGGATGCATGGGTTGTTGGATGCAAATTGCGAAAGACATGCCGTCTTCGAAAGACATGCCGTGTTGGCATGCGTCCACCCGTGGAAGGCCTTGAGGCACTGAAAGTTTTCCGGCTCGAGCCATGCCATGCTCGACGGGGGTTGCTCAAAGACTGCCACGCCGCCTTGTGTGGCAACTGCTTTGAAGAGTTCTCTGCTTCTCCTGTGGATTTCCCGGCTTTGTGCTACGCGCAAGGCTTCCTCGGGAGACAGGCCCGGCACGCCGTTCATGCAGGTGGGAGTGCGTAAGGGCCCTTGGTCCTCCGGGGCGGAGCTTCAGTCTACTGTACTCCTTGCACGGCGGAGCTAGGGTGATCAGGCTGACGATGCCTGATGCGCATCAGCAATTCAAAGCATGCATCGTCGAGTATGTCGTGCTCTGGATTGGCGTCTAGGTCGAAAGCCTCGAATCGCGAGAGGCCCTGCCTGTCGGCTGCTGCTGATATGGGTGCATGCATTCCTGCGAAAACATCCAACAGGAATCCTCCCTTGATGTGGGGCGACGTGCCCTCTTCAGCTGTTTGTGCACTGCTGGTTGGGAAATGGGTGTTGGGGGCTGGAGTGCCTCGCTCGAAGGCGATAAAGCATGCGTTGCAGGCAGGCTTGTGGTGCGGTCCTGAAGGCAGCGCCGAGCGTTGCCGGCAATGGGATCGCACTGTCCGGAGGAGCGGCCGGAACGGCCCCCGGACTGTTTCAGGTGCTGCGGTTGGAGGGATGCTGCGAGGCACCATGCGCTTGCTGGCAGCCTTTTATGGCGCAGACATGCGCGAATTGGCAGTTGTCTGTTTTGCAGAGACCTTGTTGGAATCTGCGGCAGATTGGCTTGCCTTGATGCGTTGCTGCCCAATTGTCGCGGGTCTTCCCCTTCCCCTTTCCCTTCCCCTTTTTGCGGGGTGGTTCAGCCTTGTGTGGCTTGTGGGCTGGGCGTTTGCCGAATCGTGCTGGGTTAGGTGGTCGCTTGGCGGGCTGCGCTGCCAGGGGCTGTCTGCTTGTCTTAGGGCGAAGCATGAGCAAGGAGTGTATTTCCATGCGGCCATGAGTGAGCTCATGGACCATTTGCGCTGCAGTAGGTCGACGATGGTGCCCCAAATTTGGCGATCGGCATGCAGGAGCTCCGAAGTTGTGACTGTGCGGAGCGAAAGGGCTGGGTCCGGCTGAAGCAAGCACATGTTGGCGATTT